ACACATGCATGGCCTACCAGGGCAAAAGAAATGCTTTGGTATAGACAAATCCTATACACAAACTATACATTGCACTAATTTTATCAATTAAAAATTCAAACGGGTTGAGATCACACTTTGCTTCTGTAACTGGCATCATTGGGGTATATCTAGAAATTCAGGCTAGAAAGATACTCATCTGATGATTTTAAAAAGGCTAACCTCTGTTTAATATGTCCTTGAGTACCATCCAGGTCTGTGGATTCTGTAGCGATTCATTTAACAAATCCAAGGCCTAGAGCAGCAAGGTATATAACCCAATGGTCCAAGTGCCAAGTGCATCATTCTTGAAGTGACTGAATCAAAGAAAAGATTCTGATCTAGTAGATTTTTCTGGTTCAATTTAGAATCAAGCTCTCTAGAGAACTGGTTCTCAGGGTATCAAAGCAAGTATCCTGAGCCATTAGGCCCTGCTAGGGCCAGCACAAGCTTGATCTCTTAGCAGAGTTCACTGGTAGCCTCTGCTGAGCACTGAAGTCCTATGTTCTGACTGAATCTATACCTGAAAATCAGATGGATCCTCAGAGCTGTGCTGGGTAGCAGCCAAGCAGGTATGTCGTAGCTGAATGCTGAATCAAAGTACAATTGTGGCATGACCAGCCAATTAAAGGCTAAATGGCTGCACAGGCTACTGTAAGAGGTACAGGCCCATGACTCCTCATGAGCTGTCAGATTCCTGAGCCACAGAGGAAACTGTCAGATCCACCCCTGACCTCAGGGAGCAGGACCAAAGATCTGGCTAAGAACCAGCTGGGGCATTGGTATAAGCCAGTCATCACTGGGCCGGGCCCACCAAGATGGTACCTTGCATTCCCAAGCTCACTTATTTGAGAATAGAGCTGCACTGAAGGGAGGGGAAGGGAGGAGAAGTGAGGGGCAGGGGACGCTGCCCTACTGTCACAGATTTCTTAAGAAGAAATTGCAGCTGTTCCAAGTTGTTCCCAAAATTGACAATGTTCTTGAGAATCTAAAGCAGAGCTGAGGATGACCCCACCTCAGAGGGGAAACTCACTCTCAGAGAAAGCATTCAGCAATGTGTGCCCCAAAAGATGTCCACATACTAATCCCAGAACCTGTGGGTCTTTTAACTTGCATGGCCAAAGGGGCTTTGCAGGTGTGATTAGGGTAAGAATCTTGAGATGGGAGTTTATCATGGGTGATCTGGGGAGGACCCACTGTGATCACAGGGTCCCTTTCAGAGGAAGTGGGACAGAGTTGAGGACGGAGATGTGACTATGCTGACAGCAGCAGAGGTCAGAGTCATGTGGCTGCAGCTCTGAAGACTCAGGAGGGCCACAGTGGAGGAATGTGGGTGGCCTCAAGAAGCTTAAAAAAGGCAAGAACAGATCCTTCCCTGGAGCCTCCAGAAGGAATGCAGCCCTGCTGACACCTTGACTTTAGCCCTGCAGGACCAATTTTGGACTTCTGACCTCCAGAGCTTAGAAAATAAATTTGCATTGTTTTGGACCACTAAATGTTCGGTGACGTGTTACAGCAGCCACAGGAAGTGGATGCACAATGCAAGGCATTTCACCCTGTGAATGACCCAATTCGGCCTTAGACTAATTTCCCTTGGCGAAACACAGGCAGGCCGAGCTCCCTGAAGGAAGTACCATGGAAGGGCTGCTTCAGTGTAATGCGTTCTGCAAGTGAAAATATCTTACAATCACAACAGAATGGTTAGGCAGACTTTTGTTTTATGACATTTTAAGACATTCTGGATGGGTCCCAAGATTTGTATGAGCCTATGAGTCATTAGATTAAATTGGTATATAATTTCTCCCACTCTTTTCATAAGAATTATTGTATTCCTTGTTATGAACAAGCATAGAATTTCTAAGTCTTCCATTTTTATGAGCTTAACTCCACTTTTTTCCAACAGAAAAAATGGAGTGACAGATGAATTCTGGGCCTGAGATAAACTGCTTTATAACTGTTTAAATTAAGATCAAACAGGCCCTGACATTGATCAGATTTCTAATCTGGTTTAAACATCAAAATCTATGATTATGTAAACATAGCATCAGTAATAGCTTTCCCTGTGGAACTTCCAGGTGTTGGGAGTGGGTTATGGAAACTCTTGCTCTGGTTTTCTAAGTTTAAGATGGAAGGAAATCCAGAGAAAATGCAAATTAAAACCACAATGAGCTATTACTTCACACCTGTTAGATTGACTATCATCAATAAATCAATGAACAAGCATAGGTGAGGATATAGGAAAAGGGAATGCTTGTGCATTGTTGGTAGGACTGTGAATTGGTACAGCCACCACAGAGAACGGTATAGAGAGTGCTCACAAAATTAAAAATAGAACTACCATATGACTCAGCAATCCCACTTCCATGTATTTATCTGAAGAAACCCAAAACATTAATTCAAAAAGATATATGCACTCCAATGTTCACTGCAGTATTGTTACTTACAATAATGAAGATGTGGAAGCAATCTAGGTGTCTACCGCTAAACCAATGGATAAAGAAAATGTGGTACATATATACAATGAGATATTATTCATATGTAACATAGAATGAAATCTTGCCATCTGTGATAACATGGATGGACCTAGAGGGTATTATACTAAGTGAAATAAGTCAGACAGAGAAAGACATATGATTTTACTTATATGTGGAATCTAAAAAAACAAAATAAATGAACACACAAAACAGAAACAAACTCATAGATACAGAGAGAACAAACTGATGGTTGCCATGAGAAGGGGGTAGAAGATGGGTGAGAAGGGGGAAGGAATTAAAAAGTACAAATTGGCAGTTACAAAATAGGCAGGGGGATGTAAAGTACAGCATAGGGGACATAGTCAATGATATTGTAATAACTATGTGTGGTGCCAGATGGGTACTGGAGTTAGCAGAGTGATCACTTTGTAAGTTATAAGATAAATGTCTAACCACTATGCTGTACACCTGAAAGTAATATAATATTGAGTGTCAACTGTAAGTGAAAAAAAATTTTAATTACAAAAAAAGATGGAAGGAAATTCTAGCAAGCTACTTCTTCGAGAGAGAAACTAGGAAATCTGTCGCTTGTGGAATCCACCCCGGGGCTTTGTCAATTCAACATGGCACTGTGGTTCTCATGCATCCTGGTGTATCAGCACCACCCAGAGGGCTTGTTTGACCCAGATTTCTGGGCTTGGGGTTGGGGGAGCCAGATAATCTTTAGTTCTAATAAGCTCCCAGGTGATGCTGTTTCTACTAATCAGGAGCCACACTTTAAGAACTATGGTAGAGGGATCCTTCTTAAACAAGGCCCAATTTCTTGCATATCCTGAGAACGGTCATGACCTTACTTCACCTGGCTGAACTGTCCCTAACAAGCTAGTTAATACATTGCAATTGTTGAAGTATATCCATCATCAACTTGACTCCAAGGCACAGGGGATCACCAGCTTGGCTGCATATTGGAACTATCTAGAGAACTTTTTAACCCCTCAGGACCCAGGCTTCCCCCCAGACAAATTAAATCAGAATGGATCAGAATGGAGCTGGCAGATGAGCAAGTCTCAGTGGTTTTTAAAACTCCCCAAGTGATCCAAAGTGCCACCAAGACAGAGAACTGCTGCTCTAAGCAAACATGAGAAACCACAAAATGATGCCAACTGGCTAGAACAGACATTCAGTAGGGCCCTACGCTGAGTCCTGTCTTCTGAAGTGCTGGACTCTTGCATCCTGCACCGTGACGTATACTAGGTGCTCAGTAAACACGTGCTGCATGAATGCAAATTAATCAACCAGAAAACTTGTGGAAAATTAGTGCCTCCCTTCTCCAGGGTACATGGATGCATACACAGAAACAAACTATATCATTATACATTATTAAGTCTCGTGAAGGCAGTAGCCCTACAAAAAACAGAACTCTTTTGAGAAAGCTGTGCTTGGGTAATAACTCCACATTCATAAGTCCAAATGCATAGCATAAGAAGTATAGATGGAAACTAGGAAAGATTTTTTTGGTCCAAAATAGGGGTCAGCAAACTGACCCATAGGCCAAATCCAGCTGCCATCAATTCTTACAAATAAATGCTATTGGCACACAGCCACACCCATTCGTGTCCACCCTGTCTGTGGCTGCTTTCACACTCCAAGGACAGAGCTGAGGATTTTCAGCTGAAACATGATGGTGACAAAGCCAGAAATATTTACTCTCTGGCCTTTTAGAGAACAAGTTTGCCATCCCTTTCCCTAGGGATATAAAAGGATGTATACAAACAAAACACAATGTGATTGTCTTTAGGTAGTGGAATTATGGGTGACTATTTCTTTTTTTTCTTATATTTACCAGCTTTTGACTTGTATGTTTATAGGAGGAACATGTGAGATAGGATATGTAGCAAAACAGCTGTAATCAGTAAGGGCTACAGGGGCTATCAAGGAGTTAGGATTTATAGCTTAGAACCAGCAGAAGACCAGCTCGATCCAACGCAGAGACTAATTTCAGCTTGTGGTGACCCCTACCCTTATTATACACTCATTGCAACACGCTTGCTGAACAACACGCCCTGCGCCGTGATCGGAAGTGGAAAGCCCATGTAAGGACACAAAATGGCCGATGGGCCTCTTCCAAGAAATCTCCACCCTTTCCCCCCCCAAAGTTCTAAATATTCCTCCTCCTTACTGCATGCCCTACCCTCAGATTAAATGAGCCTCAATAAAAGCAAATCCCACTAACAGGGGACTGCTCTGCCTGTGGAGTAGCCCATTCTCTTTCCCATTGCTTGACTAATAAAGTCCTTTTCACTCTAAACTCTATGCTGATTCCTATTAGAATTTTTCCCTGTGTGAAGCCAAGAACCCACAGTGGGTCTCACACCTTCAGGTCCCCAGACCCCTGGAATGCCTGCATCACTTGTGTGTTTAAATCATGAATTTAAGAAAGAAAAAGAAACAGTTTGCCTCAATGTAGGCACCGGAGCTGAGCTGCCCGGCTCCCCATGGTGATGGTACCTTGTTTCCAATGGCCTTCTTGGGTGGGAAGTTGTAGGCTCTCACTTGAGGGTATTTGTTCTGCAACTTGTGGTGCAAACTCCTGAACTCTGTGTACCGTCGATAGACATTCCATTCATCGTCTTTTATCCGGATGTAGACCTGTCAAAAAAAAAAAAAAAAAAGGAAAGAGAAAGAAAATGGAGACTTCTCTTAAAACTTCATTATAAGAGGATGGGCATTCGGCAATGATCCACTCCTGAAAACAGTTCTTTGAGGACATGGCCACACTGTGTCCCCTGCCACCGGAAGTCCAGTGCCAGGCACAGAGCAGGAACTCAGTACTACAGAGTGAACAAGTGGGCATGCGAATGACGAATCACGCAGGCTACAGGATCAACATGCTGTATATCATTCCCCCATTTAATCTCAGCAACGCATTAGTCATATTTTTGTCACAGCCATATTGTAGCAGAGACGAGCTGCTGGTGAGACTCTATTCATCCTCTCTGGCTATGCATTTCCTCATATGTAAAATGGAGCCAACAGCACCTCTTCCCAAGGTGTGTGGAGAGCATTCAGGTACAGAAGCAGTGCAGCTGTGCCTGGGACCATGCAGACCTCCACACAGAGGAGATGGAACTCAGTCTGGGGGAGGAGGGAGGGATCAGACACCAGCCCAGCTGGATGGAAGGTCATGTCCAGTTGGGATAAACACAATGGGGCATAAAACATCTTTATTTTAATCAAGTTGTAACTGCCAAGAGAATACTCTGAGGGTACGAAATGTGAGAGCTGCTTCTGCAGCTTTTCACAGGCCCTGGAACCTTCCAGGCACGCAGAGCAACCACACTGCAAAGGAAACAGACAAGTGGGAGCAAGATCAATACATCGTAAAAACTGCACAAGTTAAGGACAGCATAAAGAGTGAAGTCCCAATGATAAATGGCAGTGTAATTTGCAATCTGTAAATGTCAGCACACATCTTAAAGCCTCTTTAACCATACAACTATATATTTCAAAGTGACGATAAGTTCTGCCTCTACATGAAAACCACCCAGCATCCCCAATGCAGATATCTTGTATTTGAATTTTGGTTAGGCAACCATCAGGGTCTCTCACAGTATTTGAACAAGACAAAGAAAGGAAGACTTAAACCAAACAATTACAGTTAATAAGTCAAAGTTTTCAGTGGAATTAGATGGAGAAACAGAGGCTACTGAGTTTATTAGAAGTCTCCAAGCTAGGAGAGACAGTAAATATACTGGGTGACAGATATCAAGTGACCTCAACTGGCCTGAGAGATGAGTCTAATCCAATGTAATGAAATGCAGAAAGTTCAATGTCAGGGCCTGTCATAAAATCCAAAAAAACCAACATCGTAAGTATAGGACAGGGAAGTACAGCCCAGCAGTAGCCTGTGGGACAAAGATTTATAGATCTCAGTAAGTTCAAGCCAAGTAAATGATGTGGGAGAGTCATTAAAAAAGTCTATGTAATCTTCAGGCCTCATTTAAAGGCAAATGGTAAGTTCTAGAATAAAGGGTTGAAGTCTTGTTCTATTCTAAATCAACCAAACCAACTTAGTTAGGTTTTGGTTGCCACCTGCTAAAAGATAAGTAAAATATGTTCTGCAAGACCCACAATCACTTGCCACTCAGAGTGTGGCTGTGGACCAGGAGCATCAGCACCACATGGGAAGATGTTAATGCAGCATCTCAGGCTCCACCCCAGATGCACTGACTCAGATTCTGCATTTTAATAAGAATCCCAAGTGGTTCCTACACACTTTCAAGTTTGAGAAGCACTGGGTTCTGAGATGGATTATAGCCAAATTATCAGACGAAAGATAAAAGACATTGGAGGATGACAGCCTGAGCCTCAGGATGGAGGGGGAGTAGAGATTTCCACATTCCTGGAATGAAAAGAAGAAAGACCAAGATAACACGTGCCAGTGATTCCAGGAAGCAGACTTCCAGCAGGTAGAAAATAAAGGAAAACAAATTTCAGCAGACAAGGACTTTCTAGCAGCCCAGGCTGCCCGAAGAGGAAAAGGTATGTTTCAAAAGCTTTCTTGGCACTGGGTGTCCGAGCAGTGCTATAAAGGCTGATTGGATTGTGATCACAGTTATGCAAGTATTTGATTTATAACAGGGAAGTACGAATTAGATCTCAAAGCATCTGGAATGGCCTGGTAGTTATGGAGAACTGGGCCTTCAGGTTCACATCTCCATACACTGAGACGTCATTAATCAGTGAGCAAATACACCTAGCAGAGGTTAAGGGAATGCACTTCATTATGGCTGATGTGGGCATTCTTTGAATGTTCTTGATCGATAACAAGTGCTACTTACCCACCCAGTATCCATTTTCCCCCCAATATTTCTGGTGTAGCAATGTATTCAGAAAAAAGAATTAAACTAGATTTTTCTGTCTCCACAGAGAAGAGTGACTAATGAGATGTAAACAAAAATTATTGTTTGGGGCTTCTAAGTAAGTTCTCAGGGGAATTCTGACTCAGCCAATAAGTGCCTTTCCACCTCCCCCCACTCTTCCCCCTGTCCTTTTCTTTCTTTCTTTCTCAAAAATATGTGATGACTGACGCTCCAGAGGTCATTTTCTGATCATGAGGTTGTCATGAGAATGGAAGCAAAAAGACAGAAGGACCTTGGGTCTCTATGACATTTTGAAGTCACCATACTAATTACTACAGAAATATTTATCTCAATTAAAGGGAAATATTTATCTTTAATTTGTTCAAACTAATGTTTTAAGGGACTTTGTACTAGTGGCCAAATGCAATTTTAATCTGATATATCCTGAATGGCTATATCTGCTAGTAAATTCTTATACAAGTCTCCCCTTGTATAAGAATTTATACCCATCTCCCCTCACAGAGTGAAGGCAACTTCAATCACTTATCTGGTCACCATGCACAAGACTAACTAGCTCTGGAGAGGCAAATTGTAACCTGTGGGCCAAGCTACCTATTACCTTTTTTTACCTGTTGTTTATAGCTACTTCTGCAATACAGTTGCAATGCTGAGTCATAACAACAGAGACCATATAGCCTAAATACCTAAAATATTTACTTTCTTTAGATATATATATAAAATTTTTCTCACCATTGATCTATATATTTGGAAAATCTTTATTATTGTTATTTTTTTTCACCAATATATCCAAGACCCAGTGTGGAGAAGGGCAGTGTTTTCCAAATAGTACCAGCTCCTGGAAAGGCTATATTAACCATCTGAGACCCAGGAATCTGCAGTGTTCCAAAGCTTCCCTGGTGATTCTAAGGAGTGGCTGTTGTGGTTGGAGGGTTTGTGCACAGCCCCCTGCCCCTGCCAATTCATATGTTGAAATCCTAACCCCCAAAGTGAAGGTATTAGGAGGTAGGATCTGGAGGGTGGTTAGGTCAAGAGGGTGGAGGTCTCATGAACAGTATTAGTGCCCGTATAGAAGAGACCCAGAGAGCAACCTTTCCACTTCTGCCATGTGAGAGGACAGCTGCCTGCGAACAAGGAAGCAGGTGTTTACCAGACACCACATCTATAGCACCTTGTCTTGGACTTCCCATTCTCTAGAAGTATGAGAAATGTGTGTTGTTTAAGCCACCCTGTCTATAGCAGTTTGTTATATCAACCAAATGGACTAAGACAGCACAGACTTAGGTGTGTCAGACAGCCAGGCTATTCCTTCTCCTCTCTGGCTATACCGTTTATAAAATGGAGCTGACTAACAGCACCTCCTCCCAAGGTACGGACAGCCCTCAGGTTCAGAAGCAGTGCAGCTGTGTCTGGGACCATGCAGACCTCCATACAGAGGAGGTGGATGGAACTCAGTCTGGGGAAGGAGGGAGGGATCAGACACCAGCCCAGCTGGATGGAAGGTCATGTCTAGATGCAATGAGCATGACTAGGACACAAAACATCTTTATTTTAATCAGGTTGTAATGGCCAAAAGGACACTCTGGGGGTACAAAATGTGAGAGCTGCTTCATCAGCTCTTCACAGGCCCTGACACCTTCCAGGGACACACAGCGACTACCCTGCAAGGAAACCAGAGAAGTGGGAGAGAGAGCAAATGCATTTTTAGAAATTATATCAGTTAAGAACAGCCTAGAGAATAAATTCTCCAGTGATAAATGGCTGTTGCAACCTGCAACCAGTGAATGTGAATACATACTTAAAAAACCTTGAAAATAATGATAAAAATAATCACCTCTAATGTGTGTGATGCATTCTGATTCTACATTTTCTGTAACACACTCTGTGAAAGCACTGAGTCCCCTAATGCTTCGACGGCCCCTCTTGGCCTTCCATGAGGGCACATCCTCTTCTGCCCACCCTTAAAGGCGGAGGTCTCACCCGGGGCCCTCCTCCCCCTACACAAGCATCCACTCTCGGGTCTGCACATTTCATTTTACATCAATGACTCTCACATCTATAGCGTTAGTCTGGACCTCTAACACAATTGCCAGACACAGACCTGATAAAACACATTATGTCAACATCTGAACCCAGTACCTGAACCGCAAACCCGCTCCTCCTTGTCCTGGGACCTCACTCTCTCAGCGTGAACAGACCACTGAGTTGCCTAAGCCAAAAATCTAGGCATCAAGTTTGACTACTCTTGTTCTTGACCCTCTCCCTCACATCCAAGTACTAAATAATAGGGCCTGTCACACCACCCCCAAAACCCACCCCCAGAGCTATGTACATCTCTGCTGGGACTACCACAACAGGCCTCTTGCTATCCTTCTAGCAAGAGGATTGCCCCATTCAACATGTTCGTCCCCCTTGTTCAAATTCCTTTACTGATTGCCCAAGAAGGGTGCCAAATGGGCTCTGGAGAAGGGATGTAGGCAGCTGCCATGGGCTTGGAAGGCTCCTGCATCATCACAACCACCTTGGTTCAGGCCCCGCCCCTTGCTTTGGTAAATCAGCAGAGTGCCCATTTTCCTGCATTTTCTGTAAAATTCTTTAATTTCTTAAATTCTTAAAAGCTTCTTTACAACCAGGGTGGCGCCAATTTGCCTGGCTTTCTTTCATTCTATAAAATGTTCAGATCAGACCAAACACCCTGCCCTAGAAAGAGCATCCCTTGGCCTCCCAGTTTTCTGCTTATTGTATCTCCTGCTGTGGGTGACAGCAGGC